AATTCGAAGCCAAGCTGGAGATATGGATAAGTACTTTAATGGCAAGAAAAGAAAAGAGAAGGAAAGAACAATTGAAAATTTAACGATTGAAGAGCAACAGAATCAAAATGATAATGATACTGATCATATGGATGAACGAAAAGAGAATGAGAAAATGATTGTACCTATTAATACAAACGAGTCAAAACAGAGTTATGAAAATAATGTTTAACATGAAGAGTCAATCAAGAGAATTGATTTTCTTTAAATTTTAATGATCTTGGAAATTGGAAGGACTTTCATATTGATCAAAAGATAAAGGAATTTTTAGTTGAAATGGATCTAAAAAGAGTTGATGACATCTTGTTTCCCATAGATAGTCAAGGTAGACATTTTGAATCATCACAATATAAGCCATTAACGGTAAATGGGCCGTTAATGGTAAATGGGCAGACAACTTATAGAAGATGGCTAGTTTATTCAATTTCTTTATATAAGATCTTTTATTTTTGCTGCAAGTTATTTAAGATAGAGAAAATGATGAAAAATATTGGTTAATTGGACAATGACGGATACTATGATTGGCATAATGTGCATCGGCATCTTACAAATCATGAAGTGTCTATGGAGCTTATTGGTTGCATGATTAGCTGGATGGAACTTAAAAATAAGCTTCAAACAAAACACATAATTGATTAAAGCATACAATTGTTCATCAATCAAGAAAGAGAACATTGAAAACAAGTGTTAACAAGAATAATTGCTATTGTGAAAAGAGTCGCTAAAAATATTTTGGCATTTTTTAGGAGATTGTGAGTAGCTTTATGTTGAGAACAATGGGCTTTTTTTGCAAATGATAGAATGGTTGCTAAGTTTGATCCAATAATGAAAGAACACATTCGATGTGCTTAAGCATGCAAGATTCAGCATATATATCTAGGTCCTAAGATTCAAAATAAATTGATACAAATGTTAGCAGGTGAGATGAGAAGTGCAATTGTCACAAAAGTAAAGCATGCAAAATATTTTTCTGTCATGCTTGATTGTACTCCAAATGTGAGTAACAAAAACAAATACCTCTAGTAATACGATGCGTGGACGATTTAGGAGACTTGCCGGTGTTACAAGAATATTGGATTGAATTTTTGAAGGTGGATGATACATCAGCATTTGGACTTTTCGCTGAGCTTAAAAATGTGTTAAAAAATCTTGAGCTTGATATTGATAATATAAGAGGTCAAGGGTATGACAATGAAGCTAACATGAGCGAGAGGTGTAAAGGTGTACAAAAAAGATTACTTGAAATAAATCCTAGAGCTTTTTATACTCCATGTGGTTGCCATAATCTTAATCTGGCATTATGTGATATGAAAAATTGTTGTTCAAAAGCTATGTTCTTCTTTGGAGTGATACAATAAATCTACACATTATTCGCTTCTTCTCCCAAACGATGGAAATTTTTTAAGGAAAAAGTCAAAGGTTTGACACTTAAGCCATTGTCACAAACACGATGGGAAAGTCATGTGGAAAGTGCCAAGCCTATAAAAGAACAATCTGTACAAATAAGAGACGCTTTATTTGACTTGGAAAACATTGTTGAAGATCCTAAAGTAAAGAGCAAAGCTGAGTCCTTAGCAACATATGAACTTGCAAATTTTGAGTTTTTGCTTTGCATGGTAATTTAGTATAAGTTGTTGCATGCAATTAATATGACGAGTAAAATTTTTTCAAGCTGAGAACATGGATATTAATGAAGCCATCAAGCTTTTACAAACATTTATTTTATTTCTCAAATATTATAGAGAATTTGGGTTTGTTAGTGTCTTGGATGAAGTTAAACAAATGGCAAGTGAAATGGAAATTGAAACTGTATTCCAATAGGGATGCAACATTCGAAGAAAGAAGCAATTCGATGAAAGTGGCAGTGAAGAGATAACACACTCGGCTGAAGAATCTTTTAGAGTTGAGTATTTTCTCTTTATAATTGATCAAGCTCAATCATTACTTCAAACTTGTTTTGAACAATTTACAAATTAGGAAGAGATATTTGGATTTTTATTTAGTTTGGATAGATTACAGAGTATGCAAGTTGACAGTTTGTTGGAATCGTGTAAGAATCTTCAATAGTATTTAAAATATAATGGACATTCAGACATTATATGTGATGACTTGTGTTCAGAGTTGATCATCTTGAGGTACTATTTAACTAGAGAACAAAAAGAAGAAGTGATGTGCTACATTATTTGAAGAAAAATGAATGGTTGTTTTCTAAATGCTTGCATTGCTTACAAGATTTTGCTCACCATCTCGGTTATAGTTGCATTAGCAGAAAGAAATTTCTCCAAGTTGAAATTGGTCAAGACTTATATCCTATCAACTATGTCACAGGAAAGATTGAATAGTTTGGCTATGTTATCAATTGAAAAAGAAATGGCTGAACAGCTTGACTACAAAAAACTGATTGATATTTTTTTCCTCAAAAACCACTAGACGAGTTGTATTTAAGTAATCTTTTAAAATATTTCCACATTGTCATTTGATTTCATTTTCTTTGTTGTATTTTTTGATTTTAAGTTAATAAATTTAGTTCCTTAAATCTCTTATAAATGAAAAAAAATTGACTGCTTGCTATGATTTATGAGCCCAAAATATGAAGTTCGCCTAGGGCCCTACAAAACACTGGTCTGGCCCTACTTGTCCCCAAGATCAAAATGGATGATATATCCATCAACTTGCTTAAGCAGTCGACATAATAATGCATTGAGCAACTATTCAAAGAACTATACGTCGCGCAACGAATACAGGGCCCATAAGCAAAATCGACATAATATGTCTGCGTGCTCCTTATTGAGCAAATCTAGCACTGACGTAAAGTTGGCAAAGTTACAGTTCAACGTAACTTTGCTAGGAATCTATCAAATGGCGGCATACAAGTTGTATTCCATCATGCAAATTTTAAAATGTTAGAACTTTTTGCAAGAGATAACAGATAAAACATAATATTAGAAAATTAAACTAACCGAACTATAACTACTATATACAAAAATTAACAGATAATGGAAAAAAGGAAAATGAAAGTAAACAAAAATTAATCATAAAATCATAAAAAGCGAAAATATATTTTTTTTCTCAACAACATTAAAATAAATAATTTACATGAATAATTAAATATTAAATAAATAATTACAAAATCAACTAAATATTAAATAAACAATTAAAATAAATAATTACAAAAACAAGTACATATTAAATAAACAATTAAAATAAATTATTAAAAAACAATTAAATATTAAATGAAATATTAAAAGAAATAATTTAAGAAACAATTAATATTAAATAAATAATTAAATATTCAATAAATAATTAATTTTTTAAAACAAAATTAAAAGTTCCAGAAAAAATATTACTAAAAATTTAAATAAATAAAATAAGTAAATTAAAAAAAATTAAAAAATGGACTATGTCGCCTGGATCCAGGCGATTCAATCTCTGGATCCAAACCTTCTGGAATCTAGGCAACCCAGTTTGGATTGGGGCCCTAAAGTGAACTTTGTTTATTCAACATCCTCAATTTCACACACAATTTATGATCGACAAAAAAATTTACAAATATTATACAACAAATGAAGATACAACATGCTTTATTTATTTAATTAATGGCATCCAAAGTTTCAAAACTCATTTTCTTTAGAGAAATGACGATCTTTGGTCTAGGTCATCGGTTTCTTGGCGGTGTGGGTTGACATTTACTGTACAGCATTTTCCAGACGTCTCTCTCTTCAAAATGATGTGAAGGTATAAATGGTCATTCAATGTTTTTTATGGATTTAATAATTTTTCCTTTAAAAAAAATACAAATGGTCAACGACCATTTTGGAATGATGGCCAGGTCAATCGGCCATCTTCCACTATTTCCTCGTTTGGTATGGGGTGCGGTTGGTTGGTCGGGTGCTTTGGGAGGATGATAAATCAGTTTAATAATTATTGTATTGTAAAAATATAAAATTACAATGTTGTCCTTCTAAAACTAATAAAATTAATTTTTTGGGTTGACCAAAGAAGAAATTGACGAATTCCACCCACATATCCTACAATTGGCATCATCATTAATGGTTTGGAACCCCAACTGCAAAAATGGAAAGTTTGGATATAATCTGCAACAAATTAAAAAGTTTGGGAGCTCAGCTACAATTCTACCGAAAAATGCCAAACTTTCCTTACATTTAAAACATGGTGTATAAGTAGTCTTCTACCTTAATGTCAATGATCCAATTCGAGTGCTCGTTGTTTCTCTTTTCCTCTCCAATTAGCCATTGCTGCATTTTCTTATGATTGTAAAACAAATTTTCTGTTTGGCTCGACTAAAAATCAGATTTTTAGTTAATTCTAATAAAGTATGATAAAATATATGATTGAAATGTTAATAAAAGTTGTGAATCTTATAAAATATATATTTAAAAAATAAATTTTTAAAAATTGGTATCAAATAAGGCCAAAGTATTTTAGGTTCGTTAGACTTTACCCAACTATATAGCTAACTGGGGAGGAAAGGGGAAATAATGTGCGCCTGCACTGGGTCGTTGACATTCAGGAAAGGAGTACCTTTCAAATTTTTTTATGACCGGACGAAATTGCCCATGCACAAGACACGTCATTATTTAATAGTCCCATGTGATGATTTCTGAATGGAAAGGATTGATTTTACAAATGGAAAGTTCAGACGGGATATGATTGTCAAAGTTGAAACTGTGAATCTTGAATTGCAGACGTTGAAGATGAAATGGACCATTTTTACATAACAATCCCGTTACTGTGTCCGAATTTTTTGACAGAAAAGGTGATCAACTCTCACAATGACGAGGCCCCACTTTTTTTTTGGAACTTTTTGTTCACGCAAAATACATCGCATGTGAGAGAATGCTAATCGTTCTGACAAAAAAATTCGGACAAAACAGCAAAATTCTATACATAAAAAGGCCCGAAATATCGGGTAATTATTGCATCCTTGCGCAAAAAAATACACACTGAGACGCGCCTATATAATGTAAGTGTCAAGCAAATATTTTCCATTTGTTTAAGTAAACACTATGGAGGAGAGTGGAGTTGGGGAACCACTCCTTGACAGCAAATATCATCAACATGGCGTAAGAAGTGAAGAAAACACCCAGAAAGGATCAAAAGAGATATCTTATAATAATATTATTTCACCATTCTCTGGCGATGAAGATGTGATTAGTCCTTATAGTGGAGTTTTTGATCTTGTAACAGAATTCTACAACGAATCAAAGAAGCTATGGTACCTTGCTGGTCCGGCCATTTTCACCTCCTTCTGCCAGTATGGCCTCGTAGCCACCACTCTGGTCATCGTCGGTCATATCGGAACCATTCAACTGGCTGCAGTTACTGTGGAGAATTCTGTTATTGCAGGATTTCCTTATGGTATATTGGTATGTGTACATAGTTTTTCTTTTCATTATTATATTTGTTATTACTGATAACCGCCACCCATGGTGGCAGTGGTGGCGGTGTGGTTGCTGTGGTAGTGATGATGGTGACTAGATTGTGACACACATAACAAAATCATTATTTTAGGGGTCTATTCGACACTGATAATGAGAATTAATTTTTTAATCGTCAGATAGAAAAGTGATTTTACTGGCGAGTTAAGAAGTAAAAAAAAATGACATTTGAAATAGTGAAATAATGGTCAAAAAATTGATTTTACTTGACTTTTAAGTTGTACCAAACAAGCTTTTAATAAATGTAGTAGAGGAGATCCTTTTAGATTGAGTCTGCCCAAATAAATGTTAAAGTGGCATGTGAATTTCACATATCTAACTTTTTTAAAGGGAAGAGATTACATTATTTATCTAATTGGCTCGATTTTCACATATTTTACACCCAAGAAAAAGTCGTACATAAGTACTAGTGATATGTCTAATTAGCCTCTGTTTGAACTATATTCAATAAAATTCATTTTTTTTTAAATTCGTTTCGACCATATATTCTTTCGATAAAACAATTTTACATATAAACCCAAACTTTTTCCTATTTTTTAATTATATTCTTCAAAAAATTACTATTACAAAACATATTCTTCCTTGAAAATGGGGC